GCACGACACGACAGCGAGACCTCCAAGGGCTGCAGACACGTCCTCGGGGGGCGACACCCACGACGGAGGAACTGACGAGCGAATTAAATTAGAGATCCAATGTTTCCAGAACTTTTATTATGATTAGTTGGGGCAGTAATATAACCGATAAATTTATTTCTCCGTAAAATTTAGCGTTATATGTTGAGTATTTTTTTTCACTTCCCAAGTGGCATCGCAACAATTTACATAATTGATCATTGAGTCTTTTAGTGTTAAGGCATCAAAATTACTTCACTATTGAATATAAAATTCATTTCCATCTCGTTTACTAAATTCCAAGTAAAAAGAATGACCTATAGCATCCTATAACATTTCTCACCAACAAACTAACCATTATATTACAAAGCTCAAGATTTCTCCATATTAAAATTGATGTCGTTGACTATTTTTAAATAGCATGCAACATTGAAAATTTCTATTAACAACGATGCAGAAGCTTTGACCAAAGCAAGTTAAGGAATAAGCATCTATAACTCTCTCTGGCTCTTTATGCGTGTCATAAACAATTGATGTTACATGGAAGTATTAAAATTTTACTCGTAATTATAATCAAAAAATGTCACAATGCATCTTAAGGTCTCGATCATTTTTTCTGTATACATTCTGAGTAAACATATGTTCCGTGAAGTTAAATATTCCATTAGCAATGAAATAATTTCAAAATTAGCCTTTAAAAAAGTTTTAAATTTGTACTGTGCTGGAGATGACTTGAATGCGTAGCCCACAACTGTTTTGTAGGAGGCTCGAAAAAGTAATAGTTTTCTCTGTTTTGTACTTTCGTTCCCAATGAATCAATCAATGAATCAATGAATTTGTATTTATTTAATTATAAATTCAAAATGAATAATTTATTGAGCAATGATAAGAGAAAGATTCAAATTTTTTACATGGCTGATTGTGACAGGACAGTTTACATGAAAGTTTCCTGAGGAGACAAGGGAGACATATTGAACGTATGTGCCTATGTACAAATATGTGGAATCTTTCTCTTTCCATTGGTGTATAGATTATTAATTTTCAAATATTAAATTATTACGTATTTATTATAGTGGGTCCGTCATTCAGAATAACTGCGTACTATTTTTGGTTAGCAGCTGGACATCTATGCAATTTCTAAAGTGCGTTAAAATACAGTTCGAATGGCATGCAGAAGCTGGATGTAATAATAAACAACGATATTAAACACGGTTCCATTAGTAGTTATAATTATAATTCTTAACAAGGAAAATCGTTGTTCGTTTTACTAGGTCAAAATTTATAAACGCCAGGGTATGTTGATATGTTAAAGAGAAATTATGATATAATAATCTGCAGGACGGATTTCACATTGACGTGCATAAAACTCAGTTTAGACTAAAGCTACTAACCACGACAATAAACATCTACCAAAAAAAAGAACGACTCGACCAAATCTGACTAAGAAATTATGAACCAAACTTCTCTATTTGGATAAAACTAGCCGAGAAATTTGTTTCTCAATTTTTTGGTCTCATGAGAAAAAATGAAAAACAAATCTAGGAAAGAAAAAGTTGAATGATCCTATCAGAGGCACGACATGACGTAGACAACGACTAAAGTTCGTGTAGGTCAAGGAAGATGAGGATGTCTAAGTAACAATGAATGAGATAAGTAAATCGTACCCTGCACCGACAGCATGGCTGAGGCAGCGACAGTTTGGGCAGCATTTGAGGCATAGCACGTATAGTTGCCCGAGTGTTCAGCGCCGGCTTTATCAATGACAAGAATGGTTGTGAGATCGTCGACTTTAGTAATCCTAACATTTGGGGAAGCTTGAATTGGGATGCCATTGCGCTCCCAGTGAATTGAAATGGGAAGGTCGCCCTCTTGGACGAAACATGTTGCTTGGCTACGCATTCCTGAATGCGTGTTTTGGGGGAACGACAACGCCCCCAATCGGGGGGGGACTGCAAAGAGAGAAATCATCACCCGTGTAAGTGGGAAATGTGTCAAAAAATTAATAGAAGAAATTGTCACCGTAAGTAGCCATTGTCTGTGATGGTTGACAGGAAACTAGGAACGAAGAACCCAGGGGCCACGATAAATGTCAAATTGAGGTTCAAAATGTAATTTTTTAACTCGACTCTGGCGCATTCGAGACTGATAATCAGCACCTGAAAAAAGGATCATAACCATAAACAAAATTCATTGAATTAATGAAAGTCGTGATTCGTTAATAGAGAAAAGACAAACAAGAATAGGGATAATATAAGATTAGAGAACGTCGAGTTTAAGGGGAGCGTCTAGGTCCAAAGGTCGAAATTTTGGCTTTTCCGGTTTTTAGGCTCATCTTAAAGCTTACTTTCTGACGCATCGAACGG